GCCCCTAATAAAAACAAGACACGAAATGAATAATCTGCTCAAGGCCCAAAAATACTATATAAATGCACATTTATGTTGCCGTGTTGGCATTCAAAGATGATTGCATATACAACAGACAGGGTTCCATCTTACACTTCTTAGATTAAAATATTGTGTGCTTATGTCACACCGTGCCTCAGGAAAGAAACGAAGAATTCGTTGCCAGATCAGTCGCACCTGTTTCCATGCTTGCGCATGCGTTTGGGTTTTCAATTGTGTATGCGGACCCTGTGATTCCTCATCATTCTGACCTGACTGGAATGACTACCAATCGAACGATAACTTGAACCTCACAGTCGCTCCGGTACATAGGTTTATGTGGAATGGCGGACTGATTGTCTGCCACGTCATATGGCCCCTCCATTTTGTCGCCTATGTGGCACTCCCAAGCCTAGATACAGCCTGACAGCAGCATTTATCGTCCGTGTTATTTGTTAGAATCTAAATCCTGCTCAGTGTGCATTGTCGATGAAATTTGTTGTTTCCCAATCTTTCCGCGTCAGTTTAGCTTCCAAACAGTGCACTCTTATTTTTCATTGTGGCCACGGGAGTATGATGATACGTCCATTTGTCTTTATAAACGATTGCATGAAAACACTGAAACTAATGAAGTATTTAGCAATATTTCGAGGATGATCTGAAACTCCTCGAAATACAAAATGAAGGATAAGTATAAAATAAGCTAAAGAAAGAAAAGTTCTCGCCAAAGCAGATCGTGAAAAGGTGCATGCATTTAACCAACGTTTGGTCCATGTATGCTAGGACCTTGTATATTGTCCTTTGTGCGCTCATGACCGACTCTAACAATCCAATGGCAGTCGCTTCCGTTGTTATTGACAGACCCTTGTCCATTGGCTGGGCTAGTATCTCACATCTTTGCGAATTGCAGATAAGACTTTACTAAGGACCTTGAGAATTGCATTTAAGTTTGTGCATGGGTCAACGCGATACCCAAAACAAAGAAGGTGTGCGGGAATACCAATTTCAGTAATTCTTATTCCTCCTTTTTCAAGCGGTTTAAGTCGGGACGAGTAAGCGAATGTATACACATGGGGATGATTTGTGCCGTACCTTTATCCCTACCATCTACATGCAAAACGTAGATGTCGGAAATAATGCCCGATGCTTTGCCGTTGGAAAAACTCGGAAAACAGTTGTGTAAAGATGCCTCGCGAGGCACTCATTCGCTGAGTTCCCTTCAATATGTTCATTAATTTTCTTTCCGGCCGTCATTCCGATGGGTTTTGGGAGTTTGTATGCAACATTCATGCCAATACATTTGTCACGATAGCTGTCTTGCAAGGCTGGTCAAACATCTATCGAAGTCCTTTGCTGATGATTTCTGTTGAAAGCCCGGAGAATAAAATAATGTTGTTTTTTGTCGAAGGTGTACCAAACTGTTGAAGTTTTTATACTGTCTAATAGACGCTCACTCGGACGTTATCGTCGACTCCCCTACTTATACGAGCACTAAGAAATGTGTCTCCCTACCTCTTCCTCCTCGAACGCAAATGTATTCAAAGGATGTGTATGATTTAAAACTCCAAATGGAGTAGCGTTGTTGGCTTCCGCACTGGATATTCCGAGGAGTCCACTTATTTAGCAACAAAACTGTGAAAGGTTCTTGACCTGGTCGTTTATTGGAAATTCTCCTAATTTGCCTAAATAGGCTACGGTTTTAGAGGAGCGAGGGCCTAGCTTATGAAAATGCAGTTTACATATCCGCAAAGTTGTTTTGTCAAAAAAGAACGGCGCATGAAGTTTGAAACCCAGAAATAGTCTAATTGGTGCGCTTCTCGATATCCTCATGTGGTGATGACTTGCCCTTGAGTATTTGTCAACTTAATCAACCGTTTTCTTGTTTTGTTAGCAAAGAGCAATTGGTCACTATTCGAAAACATTGACTTTTTTCAAGTCTAGGCTTTTTACGTCGTCAATGCACTGACAAGTATCCTACTAGGTATGTGGAAATAGCCAATACAGTACAGTCTATCATTTCTACGGCATACACTCAGTTTTGGAATAATACGAGAATTAGCGCGTGCCCAAAATTAGAAGAACTGCCAGTCTCCATTTTCGGAACTTCGACTGACCATACATCCACTGATGCAGACTGGTTAAAGGCATTTGATACCTTAGTCGCCTTCTTTGGCAGTTAGTCACTTTTGCCGATACTTGTGACATGCACTCTTTGTTCCTGTCCTCTTTTCCTAATCTGTTCCGTTAGACGGTATATGGTTAAGGCAGTCAGATGTGCTCATTATAACGATATCGATTTTATTATCCGACACAGTTAGCGGGATTCGTTTGCTCCCTCGACGCTGCTTTAAAGACTATATGTGCACACTGTCAACAATTGCTGAGATCTCGGCTACTTGTTTATGAACTAATTCATTAGGGTTCATTTAAAGTGTTGAACACCGTCTGTGGAAACTTCATTAGACAGCAGGTTTAATTTCATGTCTTCTGCAGCTGAGTGTCTTAATAACTCCTCGACTAGTCAAAAAGAGCGGAAGACCAATGAATAATATTTCAAGTGATGTCCTACCGAGTGTCACACAAAAATGGCTGTGCATGTACCATTATGGATCTTCTGAAAGTACTGCTTATGATTTCCTTTCATGTACCACCTGCAGAACGAAGGATATCCCTGTGTCTCGGCGTCTTCCATTCAGCGACCGCGTGCTGCTGCAAAGGTCTTGCCTTTCTTTTCCAGTCACTATGTCTCCAGAGGCATTATACCGATGCAATTGGCGTTATAGTCCTTAAAGCTTTACAGAAGGACTTTAAAAGTCGACTTCGGCGTGTCTTCCTAGGAGTTATTTTTTTAATAACCATATTACTGTGCCTCTGCACTCCTCATCAGTAGAAACTTAAATACTAATTTGTCTCAATACAGTCCCTAATAAAAATGATAAGTACGCACGTTATCATCAGCTTAGAAGAGAAGCGTTTCTGTAGCTTCTGGCAAACCCGGACCCAGTGGCTTTATTTAGTTCCGAGTTTCTTATCGAATCGCTTGGATGGTTGCGTAGCCACTTTCATTTTAGATGTTGTGGTCCTTTCCAATATAAGTATAAGGATCAGCGTAGAATCTCACACTGTGTTGCTCCTATGGGCCACTCTGCCCTAAGAACAGTGGATAAAACTAGCCGCAATTACGCATTCATTACCGTCCGGCGTGCTCTTATATAAAAACATCAGCAGACTGCTCTAAAGGCAGGGCATTCTTTTGCCTCAACGATAAATTTAAATCCCGCCGTCCATTTGTCCATTCCTACAAGCGAAAGCCAATTATTATTCCTAATGACTGTGAAGTTCTCCAAGGTTCCATCTGCGAGCTCTCATCACTCCAAACTGATGATATAATAACTTCGAACTACTTTCTGTTAGTCAAGTAGGCAAATGACGTGGATGTTAGCCACCGTCTCAAAAATCAGACACATACCAAGTCCCTGAAGAATGGCATCGTTAATGTCCCAGAATGATCGCCGCAAAACGGTCTCGTAATGAGTAGTCAAAAAATGAGTCTAGTTTATTTTCAGATAACGATCTTCTACTTGTCCTGGATCCTTTGACGCCGCTCCCAATGAGGTATATTCTTCGATGCAATCCACCAGTACTCTGTCATCAAATCTTTATATTTCCCTCCGCTTTGAGACCCTTTTGCACTAAAGTTCGTAAGCTACTTTATTGCATCCGTCATTGGTGTCATTATTGCATTAACCAACCCATAATATGGCAATTCATTGATGCTTGCACTCTTTCTCCTATTATGTATTGATCCCTTGTTATTTATCCGGCTTTGCTTAAAAAAGATCTGGTAGTATTAATACAAGTTCTCTGAATGCCTTTCTTTGCTGCCTGTGTGCTTTATCTCCTTTCAGTCGATATAAGCATATTACAACAATTTAAAACGGTCAAGGCTGCATAGGTAGCTGATTTCGACTTATCTTGTACATCGGTATATCAGGATTCTCTATTGCAATTCCTGGCACGCTACTGTGCGTGTGAAGTGACAGAAATACAGAAGCTAAGATTTAAAACCTTCTCACTTATCGTAAGGCCATTTTATGTTTGCTTTTGATGTTTGAGTGAGTTATTAAATTATGTTCTGTCCACAATACATGGAGCCGTTGATTTGTTAAACAATGTAAGCCGATCATTTTAAAATGAAGTGCATTACTCGCCCTCTCAAATATGCATGACAAAAGCTCTTTTCGCGCTTTTAATTCCACCCTTTTCCAATTGTTTTACCCCGGGGCGAGAAAAAATACGTGCATATGATAGCGGTTTCAGCCTGAAACCTATACTTAACTTCTACATGTAAAAAGCGTCGAATGCAATAACTGAGCTTCTGCTGCACAGAATGTTCGAGAAACATCTGTCTGAAGGCGCTTTTGAAGCATTCGTTCGATATGTTTCTTTTAGCAAACATGTGTGTTCCCGTCGTCCGCTTGATGCATTTTGATAAATTATATACAACATGCGGATGTATAGTTGTTAGACTGCTCGTTCTCCTACAGCAGGTCCCTGTTTGTAGTTTGCATTACCAACCAAACAATGGCCACGGTTGTATTTTACTGAAAGCGTAATAAACTGCAGATATGAGTTTATCGGTCAGAAAAACTTTCTTTGAAGTTTATCGTCAGATTTTCAACCTATGCGTATATTTAAAAAAGGCATTTCATGTCCAACCAAAACGGAGCGACTTGAAGTTCGGTAAAGTGTTGTGGGTAGTCGAGTAGAAACATCAGTGTTCCTTTTAGATTAGACATGCTGACATCCTAATTAAACTCGAAAATGCCCCGTTAGCAATGTACGGTCTTTCATGTCTTGAGTAAATGCATACATTTCGCGTGATGCAAGGAGAGACGCATGCCTGAATTCGGATGAACTACATAGTGGCCTTTGCAGATATGTGGTAGACCGTGCAGTCCATGGATGCGTGCGCAGACAAACTAAAGGTGTTTGAAACCATATTCGTTGAAGAATTTTAAGTAGACTGGTTGTTGATCAATTTCCTCAGTGTGTCCCGTCTGAAAAAGTAGACAGCATCTACATTTCAACAATGCGTATCTTTTTATGCGGTCTGTATAACACGATTATTGTGCTCTCTTTAAGTTGTTTAAGCACCTTTGCGTAAATTTTTGTAAACAACCGCGGATATCACGGCTCCATGTTTAAAAACAGATTACTAGAGTTCGTTCATAAACGGATTATAAAATCCACTAGTGTCGGTGTAAAGGGTTTGACGCCGTCTATGGAAATGGGCTTTGGATCGTAAATTTATTTGCAGGGCTTTTCAGACTAGATGTCTAATTCTAAATAAATAATTCAACAACAAATGCCAACATTACTTGAGACCAAGGGATGATACATAAAATGGCATTCTATCGAATGACCTACCGTTCCGGACCTTTACAAAAACTTGCTGTTTGTTTCATTTCGCAGAATTGGAGATATCTTTGTCCAGCTTATGTGTTCAACTGTAACTTCAGTCGTAGCAGAAAACGGACTTCAAAGCACGCATAATTTAAGCGCCGACGTCACGCTAACTGCTTGGTCTTAACGTGAGAATGCGAAAGTACTTTGCCGCATATTAGATTCTTTGAGTTGCCCGACGTTAAATGTGTGAGAACGTCTTGCTGCGGTCTGTGAGAGATAATTTGCAAGAGTATCTCAATCGCACCTACATGAAGGGACGTAAATCAAGCTTTTAAGAGCTTCATGTCGGTTCTTGAGCCACACAACATCATAGTTAGTTCCAACTAAAATTAGGAAATCATTCTTATGTTTAAAGTAGTATATAGTGTGCTGACGGGCAAAACCTTCGAAACTCCACCACCTGCTGCGTACACTTCACCACAGATGCTTACTCTCTAGCCGCGCAAATTAGCAGCTATGCCTGCAAACAAGCGCAAACGACCGATGTGTTTTTCGGTGTGGTTTGTTGTCTTTTACGTTCCGTGGCAATTACTCAGTCACTTCCATGCACAACACTCGACTCATTTTTGTCTCTTGACAAAACAGACTGGTCATACGCATAAAAACCACAAAGGCGTCTTACAAAGAAGATGATGCGTTATTACCCGGGCAGTCCGTGTACTAACTTGAGCTTCCTCTCTTCTACAGAAACCATCTCAGCGACAAATGAATGCTTTGGCAGCCAAACAAGGAAAAGGGAGATAGGAGTGCGGAGATGGTGTTCGCGATAGGGCTGATTCTCACGGGGGCGAGACAGCGTGTACCATTGTCTCCGGACTGTCCGTCAATCGGTCTGCCCTGCGTAATGGCGAGGGCAGGCCCGCCATGGGATTTGATAAAAGGTTCGCAGTTCTATTTTCCTGTGTCTAGTCTGTCCATAATTTGCACAATGTTCTTGCGCATGGGCGCTTTAGGACGGTGAACGGTAGCCACTCCGAGGTTTCCAGCGGTTATTTGCATTGGTTTGGACAAAATATTTATATTTCACAGAGCGTGCCAGATAGTTGGCGGCTCACCTCCGTTTGTTCGCCGTGGGTGCTTGCGGAGGATGCAGCTGAAAAACAGTTGTTTGGGTATCCATTCCTTGTTCGTTACATTTGAAGATGCCGTAGTTCTCGTATTCGACTCTTCGATTCACTTCAGTGCGTTTTAACTCTTTGGAAAAGTGCCTTACTAAAGCTGTGTTTAAGCGTATTGAGTCTTTTTATGGTGTCTGAGAATCTAAGTGGCATAAGTCTCTTTTCTATACACTGTTCTGCTGAGTAAGCGTTCGACGAAAACGTAAAGGTACGGCAACTTTTTGCTTGTTCTTGTTCACTGTTGAACTTAATGTCGGGGAAGATGCCGATGGACGGGTCTTGAGTTTGCTAATATATCTTTTTCAAGAACAAACAACGTTTCCTCTTCATACTGGTCCCAAAACACAAGTCCATGGTGGTCGAAACGGCTTTCTTTATCCCCCGCAACCAGGCCGGGCACTGGTAAAACCATCAATTATCGTTTGATCTGCTCTGCCATTGAATGCAAAAAGGATTTGCTGGCAGAACGGAAATCATTTCCGTAAATGCTCGATTTTTAGGGGAACCTTCGTTTCGTCGTAGTTTCTTGGAACCGTTTGCGTTAGGCCTCCAGCAACAACTATATCAACAGACAAGTGCATATGCTTCCCTTGCTATCACGCGCTCCGTTCCCGCGGCTAAGAGGTGAGACCCAATTCCCAGCCAAGGGTACGCGCATTCACGCTGCAGGGAAACGGTGTGGGAGTCAGCTTGTGACGAACACCACCCCCTGCACTGTTACCCCCTTCTTTGTTTGACTACAAAGGCTACTCATCTGATGCCGTCTTCTCACAGTCTCCGACGATGGCCTCCTGTACGAGACCCAAAGCTTAGAGGAAGGCAGCTACTGTGCCGATGATCGTGTGTTCACCTCTTCCACAGTATTCAGTTTAAGCTCATTGAAAAAGCCTTATGATTTATAGACAGGCGACTAACACGACTCAGATTCTCAACTAACATAATAACCACCCAATGGTGCATAAACGTAGCTATGTTAAGACCCTCTTCCAAGGAGTAAAATCGACATGCAAGGAAGCAGAAGGAAGAGCAGGAGAAATACCACATCCTCGGGACCAACCGTCAGGAAATGGATATCCCGAACAGATTCGTCAGCCACTGCCTCCGCACGCACCCACGGCGAACAAACGGAGGAAAGCCACCAAAACTTAAACACCCTCTACCAGAGTGTGTGCGAAGCAACAAAACGGATCGCTTGAGAGGTCGGCGTGCGTAAAGCTTACCGTCCGAAAGCGATCATATGAAGGGCCGCCCGTATACACGAGGACATTCTCGTGTCGTTTATCAGATCTTATGTCGAGATTGGCCTCACCACTACAAAGGACAGACCGGACGACGGCTTAGCTCACAAATGACGGATCATAAACGGGCGGTCCGGAGAAGCGACCCGTTGTCTCAGGTTGCAACTCACACCCTGGAGGGAGGCCACGAATTCAACTTCGCGAGCACGCGGATAGTAGCGCGGTTCAGCAGTAAGAGAGGGCAACTCTGCTGGAGGCCTGGATGTCTGACACAAAATCTATCAACAGGCACGCTCATATACCCCCTAGCTATCATGCGCTCCGTTCCCGCGGTCAAGAGGCGAGACCCAATTCCCAGCCAAGGGTGCACGCATTCACGCCGCGGTGAGAGCGCGTGGGGCTCAGCTGATAGCGAATACCACCCTCTGCACACCCATCTTCCCCTCCATCTTCCCCATCTTCCCCCTCAATAAAGATTGCTGCAGTATTGTGGGCAAATATTTACTTTAACGCCAGAGATAGCCGTGTTTTGGTGAAAGAAAAAAATCAGTATTGGTGTGTACATAAATTTCCACTAAATTTACTGTGATACCAAGAAAAGCAAATTACTAGCATGTGCAAGGAGACCATATTATCAACATCGGCAAACATGTCATCTTAGATCTTCACCCATATGACATGAAAAATGACCTTGAACTTCAATCATTGCATTAAATAAAGCTAGTAATTAAGCGTTGCTTATATCCGATCTCACTTTGAAAATGCTGATAAGACAGGAGGAGTCTTGTCCTTTGTTAGCGCCGCCTAACATTGCATATTCCCGATCGAAAACCGACAGGTCAACGGGCTCTAGGCCCGGTGAGTAGAGGCGTTGACTTCTAAACCAACAGGTCGCGAGTTCGAGGCTCGGGTGTTCCACACTTCGGGCTTGGGTATGGCTGGCTGACGACGGCTAATAAGCCAGAAATGGCCATTCCAGTCTCCCTTGTCTTTGTCGGTAATATCTTTCTGCCCTCACAACTGTGTTAAACGGCGGCAGAATATGGATAACACACGCATGTATGGGCCATTTACTAGTACCTGAGCTAAAAATATGGAATCAACTAACCCTAAACTATAACACTAATTGTCTCTCCGTAATTAATGAATATTACCCGCAGTGGCTGATGGACCTCGCATAAATATGCATATACAAAAAATTGGGTCTCGGCCTATAGACCTGGCATATACTGATCTTATTAAAGTCCGCAGTTAATTTTTGAGGAAACTAGAAAGCAACCGTTTCTATGTTGTTTTGCCAAATTCAGATTCCCGTCGAATTAGACAATTATGAATTCAATCACGCTATTGGCCATTAGGCTATGCAAACTCAATTCAAGAATCACTTATCTCCACTCACCGCACCGTGCACAGTTCTTTGCGTTAAACGGATAGTAACACTGCAGATTGTGCCCCTAAAAACAAGGCACGAAATGGATAATCTGCTCAAGTCCCAAAAGTAGTCTATAAATGCACATTTATGTTGCCGTGTTGGCATTCAACGATGATTGCGTATACAAAAGACAGGGTTGCATCTTACACTTCTTGGATTAAAATATTGTGTGCTTATGTCACGCCGTGCCTCAGGAAACCAACGAAGAATCGTTTGCCATATCTGTCCCACCTGTTTCCATGCTTGCGCATGCGTTTGGGTTTTCAATTGTGTATGCGGACCCTGTGATTCCTCATCCTTCTGACCTGACTGGAATGACTACCAATCGAACGATAACTTGAACCTCACAGTCGCTCCGGTACATAGGTTTATGTGGAATGGCGGACTGATTGTCTGCCACGTCATATGGCCCCTCCATTTTGTCGCCTATGTAGCACTTCCAAGCCTAGAGACAGCCTGATAGCAGCATTTATCGTCCGTGCTTTTGTTAGAATCTAAATCCTGCTCAGTGTGCATTGTCGATCAAAGTTGTTGTTTCAAGATCTTGCCGCGTCAGTTTAGCTTCCAAACAGTGCACTCTTATTTTTCGTTGTGGCCACGGGATTATGATGGTACGTTTATTTGTGTGTCGGGCTATGCCAGTCGCAATAACCATATCTTAACACCGGTCTCAGGTTGAGGAGACATGAAGCGTGCGGTAGATCATGTACAGTAGGTGGCCTAACTCATGAAATGTCAGCCGTAATTCCAAAATATGTTTCCGTTTCGAAATGAAAAATTAAGTAAAGTTGTAAAACTAATCGTAATGCAGCTTAATTCCAAAAAAAACCAGTTATCTTAGGGTGTAGACTTTGAAATGAACTTCATTTAGACTGCATGCAATAACGGCACTCTGCAAAAAATACCTACAAAATTATAGAATCCGTGTCAAATTGTTGTTGTGGACAAGGGCGTTTGATGTACGCCTAGTTGTGGATAAGGCCATGCCAGTCACATGAGCCGACCCCCGTTATCATTCGAAATGACTGTCTTAACACCAGTTTCAGGTTGGGGAGGCATAGAGAGTGCGGTAGTTCGTGTATATACAGTTAGTCACCTACCTCCTTAAATGTGTTGATATGTACTTATGATTGCCAATCACTCGCAAACGGACACTATTTCACGAGACGAATGTCTATTTTAATTAAGCACAAGTTTGACGTAATCAAAGACATGAAAGATATATTATAGGCAATGTTGCGTTGTTAAGAAATGTCAAGTTATTTTGAAAAGCGCAATATCTCGTCAACGTCAGAAGAGTTTGAAGACGAAGATAGGGTATTCCGGAGAACCTATCTTCGACTTCAAATAATCAACCCGGATATCTTAACTTTGCCAATCTGAACGTTAGAAGTGGCTTTTATTTAGTAAACTTCGTTTTTAAATATATAAAATGCATTCTCATACATAACACGTAGCAAATATGAAAGTAGACATACAATAACGTCGAATAACAGCGCTTAGGAGCGCGAAAGAAACGGCCAAAAATGTTAACTTTTGTTCCCCGACTCGTCCTGCAAAAAGTCTAAAGTACACACTTATCCGTCATTAGAATGCAGTAATAAAGTACTACCTGAGGAGGTCACTCATTAAGGAAAGTTATTTTATTTTTCGAAGGCATATTCGTTGCTGACTTTCATTCTGAACAGCCATTTTTCTCGAAAATGATGTTTGCTATTTGAATGAGTCTTCATATGTGACCCAAACGACTGTGACGGTTAAGGATGTTAGATCAACTTAAACCACGCACAATAAGTTCGTTTCGTCTACTGTCAGAAGTCAGGGAGCTGTGAAGACTAGTTTATTCTGTACACAGGGCAGGTTGCCGTAAGTTGACGATTTGCTTGCAACAGAGAAAAGCGTCTGTTCACGGAGAGCGTCAGTCACGGTGTGTAGTTTACGCAAGTGTGAAAGTCCGTGTCAGTAGGTGGGGGTGACGGGTTGGATGCTGATCATGAGATTGGACGGATTAGGAGAGGATTAGGGGGAAGCATAATTACAGGGGCTTACGGGTATCAAGCCAGGTCGTCCGACGCGCATGAGGTGATAATTGTTTGTGGGGTGGGCAGCCGGGGGTCACTGCAGCTGGACAGGAGGGGGGCCCAGTTATAATCGGCGGAGGTGTTTGTGTGTCAGCGGCCTGGCAACGATTGTCGCGGCCATCGACCGACAAAACGGAGTCGCAGAAAAGGAGAACTGGAGCGGCTGCTACAACTCCCCCCCAGACACCAAACGGAGTGAAGGCGTCGACATGCTAGCCAGCCACAAACCTGTTGGGCCAGTGGACGTGACGACCAGATAGTGTGCGGCGAAGCGGAGGGGGGGCTGTCGCAAGTAGGTGGAGGCATCAGTGTTTGCGGCGGGGTGCAGTGTTGGGGTGAGGAATGGTCACTGTCGTCGATGAACGCCGGCTTGACGCGATCAATGCTGACTGTGTCGGTCTTGCCATTGCGGTCGATGACAACATCTTTGTCAGATCGACGAAGGACTTTATACGGCCCGTCATAGGGTGGTTGGAGTGGTCGTCGGACAGCGTCATGCAGAACCAAGACGAAATCGCACTTATCCAGGTCGGGATGGATGAAGGAATTGGCCGGTGACGCCCGAGGGGGCGTTGCGCGGAGATTGCGCATGACACTACGCAGCCGCTCCACATAACTGCAAGGTTCAAAAAACGTTAGCATGTTTGAGGGAAACACTAACTCACCGGGCAGTCGGAGGGATGTTCCGTAGACAAGATCAGCCGCAGTGCAACCGATGTCGGCCTTGAGAGTGGAACAGTGGACACTACGGTTCCCTGTTCATAAACGGACTATTAAAATTCACTAGTATCGGTTTAAAGTGTTGGACGCCGTCGATGGAAATGGGTTTTGGATCGTAAATTTATTTACGAGGTTATTCAAACTAGATGTCTAATTCTAATTAAATAAACATTTGGAGATGCCAACAAGATTTGAGACCAATTTAAGAGTATCGAATTACCTACCGTTCCGGGCCTTTACAAAAAACTTGCTTTTCTTTTCATTTCGCTTACGTTTCCCAGAATTGAGGATACATTTGCCCAGCTACTGTGTTCTATTGCAACATTCTCGCCATGTACCTCAAGGGGACACACATTTCCAAAAGGCTTTACGAGAAGTTCTCAGCGCATTGTCCTAGATTTTTAATTTCATAACCGCAAATATAAGCTGCTGCGCAAATCATCAGTAGTAGTTCAAATTTGTGGACCGTTGTAGGGTTATGAAGAGTCTTATGGAAGTATTTACAACACTTGTTGGCGAACATGCCAGCGGTTTGGGTGTGAGGAAATTGGACTACACGTATTATAAGCGAACGAGGTATCAGTGACACCTGTGAGAAAAGTGTCTGTTATAGCGAATATTTTTTGCGAACAAATTTGTAATAATAAGTGAATCGGAACTACCTTAAGACACCAAATTGTACTGATTTGCCAACTAAACGGACTTTAGCGAGACATATTACCTGACGCAATTTTAGAAATATATGTGCTAAAATAGTGGTCTACGTTTCAATGAAACTTGTGCAAATGCATTCAAAAATAAAACAACCGGTAATTTGGGCCACAATTTTCTACAGTGGTGATATGCAATTAATTCGCATTCTGGAATTTAAGTAGATCAGCGGAGCAAGCGTACATATTCTTTAAAGGCGCATGTCTAGGCGTTTTTAAGTGTGTTTGTGAATACTCTATTGAATGAAGCAACGGCAAAAAAAATCAGCGAAATGCAGGTAGACCAAAGGATTTTTCAGACAATGCTGTCTTCTCCACGCAGTTCGATCAGACGCGCAGGCATCAGTGCTTAACGCTGAGGAAGGCTCTTTGGCGCATATTGCTGGTGCTTACCTCGAAATAAGCCTAGAGACAGCCTGAAAGCAGCATTTATCGTCCGTGCTTTTGTTAGAATCTAAATCCTGCTCAGTGTGCATTGTCGATCAAAGTTGTTGTTTCACGATCTTGCCGCGTCAGTTTAGCTTCCAAACAGTGCACTCTTATTTTTCGTTGTGGCCACGGGAGTATGATGGTACGTCCCTTTGTGTGTGGTGCTATGCCAGTCGCAATAACTATGTCTTAACACCGGTCTCAGGTTGAGGAGACATAAGGTGTGCGGTAGATCATGTACCGTAGGTGGGCTAACTCATGAAATGTCAGCCGTAATTACGAAATACGTTCCAGTTTCGAAAAGACGAATCAAGTGTAGTTGTAAAACTAATTATAATGCAGCATAATTCCACAAAAAAGCCAGTTATCTTAGGTTGTAAACTGAACTGAACTTCTTTTAGAATGCATGCACGAACGACACTCTGCAAAAATACCTACAACATTATAGAATCCGCGTCAAATTTTTGTTGTGGACAAGGACGTTTGATGTCCGCCTAGTTGTGGATAAGGCCATGCCAGTCACATGCGCCGACTCCCGCTATCATTCGAAATGACTATCTTAACACCAGTTTCATGTTGGGGAGGCATAGAGAGTGCGGTAGATCGTGTATATGCAGTTAGTCACCTAACTCCTAAAATGTGTTGAAATGTACATATGATTGCCAATCACTCGCAAACGGACACTATTCCATGAGTCAAATGTTTGTGTTCATTAAGCACAAATTTAAAAGATTCAAAGACATGCAAAATATATTATAGGCAGTGTTGCGTTGTTAAGAAATGTCAATATATTTTGAAAAGCGTAATATCTTGAAAACGTCAGAAGAGTTTGAAGACGAAGATAGGTTCTTCGACTTCAAATAATCAACCCAGATATCTCAACTTTGCCCATCCTAACGTTAGAAGTGGCACTAATTTAGTGAACTTCTTTTTTGAATATATAGGATGTATTCTCATAATTGACACGCAGCAAATATGAAAGTAGACATAAAATAACGTCCAAAAACAGTGTTAACGAACGCGAAAGAAACGCCCAAAAATGTTAATTTTTTTTCTTTGACTCATCCTGCAAAAAATGTAAAGGGCACACATATCCGTCAACGGAATGCAGTAACAAAGCAATACATGAAGAGGTCACTTAGTACGCAAAGTTCTCTTATTGTTCGAAGGCAAATTTTTTGCTGACTTTCGTTGTGGACGGCCATTTTAGTCGAAAATGAAATATGATGTTTGAATGAGTCTTCAGATGTGACACAAACGACAACCCTCATAAGAAGGAGCGTCTAAACACTCACTAATGCGGTAAGTGCCTTCAACAATAATCTTATTTTATAGTTCTTAACGGACAGGTAATCCAGAATTTGTCTTTATAAACGATTGGATGAAAACACTGAAACTAATGAAGTATTCATCAAGATTTCGAGGATGATCTGAAACTCCTTGAAATACAAAATGAAGGATAAGAATAAATTAAGTTAAAGAAATAAGAGTTTTCTCTAAAAGCACAAAATGGAATGTTAACGACCACGCCTGTCAGTTCTATTTAAATTTTTTAGGTACAGACCGTCCTCATGGCATGTTACCTTATGAAAACTGTTGTTCGAATGACGTCCACATCGGTGAAATCAAGCAGGTTTCAGCTTAACTCGTTGAATTTCATCACAATTAATTCAAAGAACTAAAAAAACGAATCTTTGGAAAACTGTTTTGGAATCTACACTCAGAATTTGAGCTGTTGATGAACCGTCATATAAACGATATGGAGGCGTAAACATCACGGACACAGTGTTATTAGATGTTATTATATGTCTACGTTCATATTTGCTACATGTTAGATATGAGAATACATTCTGTTTATTTAAAGACACAGTTTACCAAATTAGAGCCACTTCTGACATTTTCGAGATACTGTGCTTTTCAAAATAAATCGACGTTTTTAGACAACACAACACTGCCTATAATATTGATTTTATGTATTTGATTCTCTAAAAGTTATTCTTAACGACCATAGACATTTTACTATTGAAATGGTGTCCGATTGCGAGTGATTGAAAATCGTTTATAAATTTCGACACATTTTTTGTATGTATGTATGTATATACATGTTTATATGTGTATGCATACACGTGTGTATGCATATAGAACACCGCCATAATTTAATTAGCGACAAACAATCGTGCCTCTTTTAGACGGTTATGTTGCAACAGTAGACATCTTCGAAACTGATGGTCGGACGACTATATTTATCTGAAAGTACAAATTGTGTAATTATATCTAGACCGTGTCGTAGCCGGACATGTTTTAAAAAATGGTCTAAATCCCATAAAGTATGATAGGGCATGTACGGTGGGTTGAAGACCCAATACCACTAAATACTTTAAATAACAAACGCGTCATTCAAATATTTCAATGATTATTTACTATAACACGATCACAATAGTATCATCATCCAACATACTGTCAAAAACCAGTTGGTTCTTCAAAAACTCCTAAATCAGTTTAACCAGATGCATGTTTAAATGGACAAGCTTGCTGCATGCTGCCGCTTTTGCATTATGTTAATGCGGTTCCGGCATCGAATGATTAATCGCACCTCTTCCGAGCAAATTTCCACAACGATCTCTATCTTCATGCGCAAAGTCCTTTTGAAAAATAATTAGTTTAGTTTTACAATAGCTTTTCAAGCATTTGAAAACGAACAAAGCTAGCGGAACAGTTCACAAAGGAGTGAGGTTCATCTATGAATAGTGAATTGGATACTCACCGAGTTGGCGATCACATAAGATGCATCACATTCCGCAGCTATCCATTGCATAGCAGAAGCATTAACTTCGGTCACGTTCATAACTGTTTGACAAATATATCGAAAACGCTCATATATTTGCCATTCACACAGGCCTCATGAAGAACTGTGGGAGATAAGAGGAGTTGAGTACACTTCTTATTTTCACACAAGCAAAATGCGGTAACACGTGGTTAGAGAAATAAAAGACAAAGATGATCAAGGGGGAGAAAAATGCCGATCGTGAAAAAGGTGCATGCATTTAACCAAATTTTGGTCCATGTATGCTAGGACCTTGAATATTGTCATCTGTGCGCTCATGTCCGACTCTTACAATCCAATGGCAGTCGCTTCCGTTGTTATTGACATACCCTTATCCATTGGCTGAGGCTAGTATCTCACATCCTTGCGAATTGCAGATAAGACTTTGCTAAGGACCTTGAGAATTTCATTTAAGTTTGTACATGGGTCAACGCGATACCCAAAACAAGCAATGTTTGCGGGAATACCGATTTCGGTAATTCTTATTCCTCCTTTTTCAATTGGTTTACGTCGGGACGACTTAGTGAATGTATACACATGGGGATGGTTTGAGCCGTCCATCTATTCCTTCCATTTACATCCAAAAAGCAGATGCCGGAAATAATGCCCGATGTTTTGCCGCTGGAAACTCTCAAATAGCAGTTGTGTAAAGATGCCTCGCAAGGAACTCATTCGATAAGTTCCGTTCAATATGTTCTTTAATTTTCTTTTCGGCCGTCATTTCGATGGCTTTTGGGAGTTTGCATGCAACATTCATGTCAATATATTTGTTACGATAGCGGTCTTGCAAGGCTGGTCAAGCATCTATCGAAGTCCTTTGCTGATGATTTCTGTTGAAAGCCCGCAGAACAAAATAATGGACTATGTTGTTTGTTGCCGAACGTGCAGCAAACTGTTGAAGTTATCATTCTGTCTAATGGACGCTCACTAGGACGTTATCGTCGTCTCCACTACTTATACGAACGCTAAGGAATGCGTCTGCCTTCCTTTTCCCCTCCAAACCAAATATAATCAACGAATGTGTATGATTTATAAATCGAAAAAGGGCAGCCTTGTTTGATTCCGCAGTGGAGATTCCGAGGAGTCCACCCATTTAGCAACAAAACTGTGAAAGGTTCTTCACCTGGTCGTTTATTCGAAATTCTCATACTTTGCCTATAAAGGCATCCGTCTTTAGAGGAGCAAAGGCCTAGCATACCGAAATACAGTTTCTGTTTCCGCAAAGTTGTTCTGTCAAAAAGAAACGGCGCATGAATTGTGCATCCCGAGAATAGTCAAAGTGGTGCACTTTTCGATATCCCTGTGCCCTGATGAGTTGTACTTAACTAGTTGTCGACTTAATTAACCGTCTTCTTGTTTTGTTACCAAGGCGTAATTAGACACTATTCGAAATCATTGGGCTTTTATCAGTCTAGGCCTTTTTACATCGTCAATGCACTTAACATTATCCTACTAGGTGTGTGAAAATAGTTGATCCAGTTCGGTCAATCGTTTCTGCAGCATGTACTCCGTGTTCGCAAAATACGAGGAGTAGCGCGTGCCCAAAATTAGAAGAACTGACAGTCTCCATTTTCGGTACTTCGACTGACCATACATCCACTGATGCAGACTGGTTAAAGGCATTTGATACCTTAGTCGCCTTCTTTGGCAGTTAGTCACTTTTGCCGATACTTGTGACATGCACTCTTTGTTCCTGTCCTCTTTTCCTAATCTGTTCAGTTTGACGGTATATGCTTCAGGCAGTCAGATCTGTTCATTATAACGATATCGATTTTATTATCCGACACAGTCAGGCGGGACACGTTTGCTCCCCCGAAGCTGCTTTAAAGACTAAATGTGCACTCTGTCAACAATTGCCGATATCTCAGCTCCTTGTTTATGAACTAATTCATCAGGGTTCATTTAAAGTGTTGGACACCGTCTGTGGAAACTTCATTGGACAACAGGTTTAATGTCAGGGCTTCTGCAGCTGGGTGTCTAAATAACTCCTCGACTTGTCAAACAGGGTGGAAGACTAATGAATAATATTTCAAATGATGTCCTACCGAGTGTCAGACAAGAATGGCTGTACATGTACCGTTATGGATCTTATGAAAGTACTGCTTATGACTTCCTTTCATGTACCACCAGCAGAACGAAGGATATCCCTGTGTATCGGCGTCTTCCATTCAGCGACCGCGTGCAGCTGCAAATGTCTTGCCTTTCTTTTCACGTCGGTGTGTCTCCAGAGGCTTTATACCGATGCACTCAGCGTCATAGTCCTTAAAGGTTTACAGGAGGACTTTAAAAGTCGACTTCGGCGTGTCTTCCTAGGAGTTATTTTTTTAATAACAATATTACTGTGCCTCTGCACTCCTCATCCGTAGAAAATTAAATACTAATTTGCCTCAATACAGTCCCCAATAAAATTGATAAGTATACGCGTTATACATAAACGCGTCTGTCGACAAGCTGAAGGTGTTTGAAACCATATTCGTTGACGAATTTTAGGTAGTCTGTTTGTTGTTCAATTTCCTCACTTTTTCCCGTCTGAAAAAATGATAACATCTACATTATAACAACGCTGTCCAGATAACACGATTTTTCTACTCTCTTTAAGTTGTTTAAAGACCCTTACGTAAACTTTCGTAAACAAAAGCGGACATCACGGCTCCCTGTTCATAACCAGATTATTTAAATGCACTAGAGTCGGTTTAAAGTGTTAGAAGCCGTCTATGGAATTTGGCTTTGGATCATAAATTTATTTACAAGCTTTTCAAACTAGATGTCTAATTTTAACTAAATAACCCTTTGGAGATGCCAGCAAGACTTAAGACCGAGGAATAGTGCCTCAAATGGTATTCTATCGAATGACCTATCTTTGCGTACCTCTACAAAAACTTGCTTTTTGTTTCATTTCGCTGAATTGAAGATATCTTTGTCCACCTACTGCGTTCAACTATAAAATTCTCTCCAAGTACCGTTAAGAGTCGCACATTTGCATAGGACTTCACAAAACATCCTCAGCGTATTCTCTGAAAGTGTTGGTTTCAGAACCGCGAAGCTAAGCTGCTGTGCAATCATGAGTAGTAGTTCACATTTTTGGACCGTTGTATGGCCGCGAAAACTCTTCGGAAAATATTTAAAATTATTCGTTGACGAACATGCTTGCGGCTTCAGAGTGATGACATTAAGCTAACCGTATTATAAGGGAACGAGGTACCTGCGAAACCTATAAGAAGAGTGTCTATCAAAGTGAACATTTATTTGAACTAATCTCTAATAATAAGTGGATCGGAACTACCTTAAGAGACCTATTGTTCTGATGTGCCTACTAATCGTCCTTTAGCGGGACGTATTACATGACGCGTTTTTTAGAAATATCCGTGCTCAAATAGTGGGTTGCATTGCAATAAAACTTGTGCAAATGCAACAAAAAGTAAAATAATTCGTTAATTTGTACCATAATTGTATACAGAGGTGACATGCAATTAATGTGCATTCTGGATTCTAAGTAGATCAGCGGAGCAAACGTATATATTCTTAAAAAGTGCGTGTCGAAGCACTTTGTAGGGCGTTTCAGAATACTTAGGTAAATATATCAAGGATAAAAATATTAGAGAAAGGCAGTTAGATCGCTTTCCTTATTTTGCGGACCTTTATGCTTCGTAAGACTAAATATACCATGAGTGTCCTATAGTTACACTCAAACTACATATCCACGCGTATGATCTATAAATTGGATTGCGGATATAACCAACACGTTAACAAACAAAGCAAATAGAAGAACTGGCGAAGCAGTTTCTGTCAACAGAATGCGGCGGTTACGAGAAAAGTTATTTGGCCTATGTTTTGGAATTTCCCCCGACCACACCGCCAGATACGGCTGCATATGGATATACTAAAGGCATAAGGAAGGCGTTACTTAAAAAATGCATTTTTTTGCATCTGAATACATAAAATCATTAGCAGTATTTAAACTTATTATTCAGAGGGTGATTTCTTTGAAGGATTGTTTGTCAGCTGGCATCTAAGTAGGCCACCGCCGCGGTTTCATCACCCATGTTGATGCTTCGCGCGTTGCTATGTAAGCGATTCGGTTTAATATGAATAAATGCTCGCCACAAATATGCTGTCAATGTCATCTTTATTATTTAGTCAGACGCTCTGAAGCTAGACAAAGCAAATCTACACTAGGTAAGAACTGATTTTTATAAACAGTAGTTATTGCAGACAGGCTTGATTAAAAGCAATCATTCTGAAGCGACCAAGGTATTTCGGAATAGTTCTGCACAGTTATTAATACAATAGCACTTCTAGGGGAAGGTAGGACATTTCAGAAATTTGGTTAGTATTTCAAAATTCACCATATGTCCTGACTTCGAAAGCCCGGAACCTCAAACGTTTCTGGTCACTGACATTGGAAAGCCCTACATTCAAAGAGCATATGCTTCTAGACACATGTAACTTCAGTCGTAACAGTAAACGGACTTCAAAGCACGCATAATTTAAGCGTCGACGTCACGCTCACTACTGGGTCTTAACGTGAGAATGCGAAAGTACTTTGCCGCATATTAGATTCTTTGAGTTGCCCGACTTTAAATGTGTGAGAACGTCTTGCTGCAGTATGTGAGAGATAATTTGCAAGAGTATCTCAATCACACTTAAACGAGTGGACGTAAATCAAGTTTTTAAGAGCTACATGTCGGTTCTTGAGCCTGACAACATCACAGTTACTTTCAACTAAAAATTGGAAACCATTGTTATGTTTAAAGTAGTATATAATTTTGTGCGGACGGGCAAAACTTTCGAAACTCCACCACCTGTTGCGTACACTTCACCACAGATGCTTAGTTTCTAGCCGCGCCAATTAGCGGCTCTGCCTGCGAACAAGCGCAAACGACCGATGTGTTGTTCGGTGTGGTTTTTTTATGTTTTACGTTCCGTGGCAATTACTTAGTCACTTCCATGCACAACACTCGACTCATTTTTGTCTCTTGACAAAACAGACTGGTCAGACTCATAAAAAACACAAAAACGTC